CCTCAAGTTTATTGCAGGAAATAAAAACTAAGGGTCTTTTTTTTTCCTTTGCAAGCAGTGAGACCCGTTTGAAAAGGCGCTCAGCAGTCTGGCTGGGTAGGGGAAAAAAAGCCAGTTATTGTCCAAAGAAAACACAGACAGGACATGACAAATTTAAGTTAGCAAACGAGGTGTRTGGAAGGCCCGAATTCAGGCTTATATTTGGGAGGCAGAGGGCCTGCTTTGCCTTGGAGATGGAGAGAAAGGAGCCCTGTACGTGAGCATTGTGGCCCATGGCTCTCTTATCACCTACGTTTCTTACTCTGGCTTGTAAATGAAAAATGTCCTCGTGTTTTTGGGGAGGAAGGCTTTGGAAGCTCTYCGTGCTGCTGCAAGCACTGGCGGACACCTCTCAGGCTTGTAAGAGTTGTCTCGGTCCAGCAACGACTGTTTGCTGGGTGAAAAGTGCAGCAAAAAGTGGGTGGTAACTCGGGCGCAAGGCAGYGCCTGTGGATGCGGCCCTACTCGGATCTGACTCCTGGAATGAGCTCTAGGGACGTCCTGAAAAACATCAGGTCCACAACGTGTGGTCCAAGGGCAGCGGTTGCTTTCAGACCTTGGCCTGGTCTGTATTGCAGGTTGCTGGTGGTGCTGATTTTACACTAGCTTGCTKTAAACTTCCTGCTGCTTAGTCAGTGACCAAATGAAAACTAAGCCTTATTTTCAGTGTGAATATTTTTTTTTGTTCTAATTTTGCCTTCAGCTGTTGGGTCTTGCTAGGCTCCTAGTGTTTCAAGGGTATTTTTGTTTGAATGTCTAGCAATAACCTCACCAAAATGCCATCTGTCCCAGGGGCTCTACCGGAGGGAGCTCAGTTTGTGCAGATACCTAACGCTTGTATAAAGCCTATAGTTTAAGCTGATATAAGGAGCTGTTACTGCAGATGTATAATCGCCATGTCCCCAGGCAGCTGAGGTGATTCTGAGGTGGAGAGAGTCTCTTCCACTTGAGCTTTATTTTCAGGGGGCTTTATAGTGATGATGAGTGATGATTTGGGACTTTTATTTCAGGTTGCTTTATAGTGATGATGAGCAGTGCAGTTAGGGCTACCAGATCCTCCCAGGCTTGATTTGTACCCTTCTCCATCTGATCAGGCACTGAGATGTTAAAAAAGCAACATAAAGCAGGTTGCTGGTTAGAAAATACTGTCGATGACTTCCTGAGGAGAGGCCTGCCTTCCTCCTTGAGGTACTTTGTGCCTCCCGGAGTTTCCTGCTGGAAGCAGGACATTTTCCTCAYTTTTGGCTGCTAACCCGTTCTCTGTAGGTTCTCCCTCCTGCTTTGGTRGCAGTGTCACATAGGGTGGCGGGGTCTCTCTCCTGGTTGGGATGTTTGTGGCGCCGTGGTGGCAGCGCCGAGTGTTCAGAGCGCGGTGCGGCCTRCACACGGCCTGCCTGCTGTGTCAGCCATCCTAGTAGCCAGCTAGCTGTTAGTTACCTTTTCCTCAGCACCTCTGAAGGAAGGCAAGGCTTGATTTACTAAAAGGACTCAAAGCCCCTTAGTCTGGACTGTTTTCGCCTGATTTGTTATTTAAGCTTATTTATGCCCCGCTTCCCAGCGCTGCTGCTCTCGCCTCTCGTTGCTCTGTTGGTGCTGGAAGAGAGGAAAACTGGGTTGAATCGTAGAATCCTTAAGGTTGGAAGGGACCTTCAGAGATCCCCCTTCAGAGAAGGGGTGACAAGGGTTGAGGAGCAGAGCTGTGCTGGGCTCCTGCTCTCCTGGTGAATGAGGTTCCAGTCGGCTCTCCCAGCTCCAGAGGCAAAACCTGCCCTTGCCTCCTTGGAGCAGGGACGGGAGGCTGTTGAGCTACATGTTTAGGTAGACCCTTTCAGCAAAGATGGAGATTTCCTGTAGGTGTCTTGCCAGGGAGACCCACCTCTTGAGTCCATGCTGTGTGTTTATAGGGTAGCTTATACGGGCTCTTGCACCCAATGTGGTGCTGGAAACGGTCCAGAGGGCTTAGTTGCTCCCATGTATCTAAGGATCTTAATGAAAACTGATTYCTCCCTGTGCCTTCGTTTGGAACTTGGGGACAGAGCAGCCGTGCCCGGCCCCCTGGTAACACMTCCGCTCTTGCAAGAGCTCCAAGGAAGTTGACAAGAATTTCTGGAAAAATGCATTTATCAACGGGACGAACAGGCAGTGTTTAGAAGCTTGGCTTTCTTTGGGGGAAGCTGCCGGCTCCGGTGGCCTTGGCGGTGTTGTTGCTGGCCCCGCGAGCACAGGTCGCTCCTGTTCTCGCTGCCCGTGGCCTTGGCGGAGGGAGGGAGGGAGCGAGGCCACCCCTTGTACCCGCTCCGGGTCCTATTTATCCAGGGAAATGCAGGTGGGTTGTACTGCTTCCAGCCCAACCCTTCCAGGGAAACCCACGGAGGAGACTGTGTGTCCCTGCGAGAACGTGGGTGCTGTAACCAGCTAAGTACAGGCAGGGAGAGGGAAACAATGAGGAAGGGGAAGAGTTTAACATGTAGATGTCTATCTTCTTTCTTGCATAATAGTTGGAGGCCTTCCCGAGCCGGGACGAGCGATGGCAGCTTTAGGAGGGTTGAAATCCTTTGTTTGCCAGACCTTTTGGACACAGAGAGCAGCTTAGTGCCTCTTTCAGCAACAGAGCAGCGTCTGCCTGAGTCAGCTCTTGCTCTTTGGTTGGGAGAGGTGCCTTTGAGCATCAGAAGGAGCTGAATGTTTTGTAAGACAGAAATAAAACTTACTGAGAAGGCAGAGTGGAATGAAGGCTTAAAATCTTCGAGCTCTGGAAGGTAATGTGTGGGGTGAGTTTCGGATGGGAAAGCAGAGGGAATAAAAAAAAGGATAATAAGGACTATAATAGAAGCCATGTGAAAAATAACACAGCCATTTGCTTTTCATAACCAGACGTCGTCGGAATAAATTTCTGCAACGTTAAACTTCCAGCCTAAAAATAAGTCTGCATAGTCTGCACTCACATTTATGGCCAAATTAAGAGTTTGAGAGAACATGGCAATATCTTCCAGGAACACTCCTGTGAGCCAGATGGCCTTTTTGCAGCATTCTCTTCATCCAAGCTAGCAGAGTGGCTCAGGAGAGTTTAGCAGGTGCGTGTTGAAGGTGACAGCTGGCTCTGCAGCCTCTCCGTGCTGTGGATGTTGGATGGCATTGGTTTGCCATGTTGCATGCTTGCTGTTGCAGCGCTGATCGTGCTGCAACTCTTCTAGATGGTCCCGCAATGAGAAGATGCAGAGTCTTGAACAAAGTTGTCAGCTGCCAGTCTGGAAATGAGGGATGATCTCGGATGCTGCCCAGTTAAAGAAGGTGGTCTCAGCATGACCTACCAAAGGGAAGTCATGCTGGGGCCGAGCTGCTCTGGGAGATTTCCTGGAAGAAGGGACAGACCTCAGAGTATTTGGGTTTGGAAGGGACCTCGGGAGGTGCAGCCCAAGCTCGAGCAGGTTGTCCAGGACYGTGTCTGGTGGCTTTTGAGCGTCTTCAGGGTTGGAGATGTAGCCCYTGTCTGGGCAGCTTGCTGCAGTGCTCAGGTACCCTGCAGGGGATGTGTGGGTCTGCGTTGGGGCTGGCACACGTTGGGGCTGGCACAGCCGTTGCTGGGTCCGCTCTCCCTCTGGGCTCTGCTGAACACGCTAACCCAGGGCAGGCGGGTTAACCCGTGTTCTCATTAGCACTCCWGTTCCTTGCTCTTCGGAAATATTAACTCAACCAAAGTTGAGTATTTTTAATCCTACTAGTGGAAAGCATTGCTGTCAATCTTTATAAGGATTGCAATATATCAGGTTTCCTATTACCCAGCAGGGTTAATACTTCTAATTTTTCTTTTTTTTTTTTTAAATTTTGTTCACGTGATACCTTCCTAATGCATGAAAGGGGCAGAGGAAGTGGCTCATGCTCAAAGTGCAGTTGTGTTTTGGTCAGGGCAGCATATGCAGCTGTTAAGGACTTCATCCATAATGTGATGACCAAAGGAAAGGAATAACTATGAAGTATTTTGTCCTGTTGTGGGTTTTTTTGGTTAAGCATATTGTTCCTCTTTCTGCCAAGACAGCTGTCAGAGAGGGGAAGAGGGATAAAATAAATACAGATTGTGCTTTAAGACATTTGGGTTTTCATAGCTGGGTTGACGTTGGGGTTTCATGCAAGGCGGGAAGGGTAGAGTCGGCAGGGAGCTAAGGGAGCAGGATCTGCGAAGCCTGAGGTCCCTGGGGTTGTTTGGAGATGACTAGTAGCTGTGACAGGGACAGCAAGAGGGAGTGGGCAATAGCGGGGGAAAGGAAGGATGTTGAAAGCTTTTGCAAAACTGAAGCAAACTCTGAAAGGAAAACCTGTGGGTTCACRTCTAGACATCCTTGCATCTCTAGGYGTTGAGCAGAAAGGAAGGGAATGGGGGAGAGGGAGGCGCAGTTGCCGTATAGGGAGAACCCTGTAATTAGCCAGGGCAAGGAAGAGGCCATGACTGCCAAGGGGCTGCAGACAGGAGCAGCAGCAAGTCACTGGAAGGTCCCTCTTCCGCCTTGCGCTGGGCTCAAGGCCACCATGAGAGGAAAAGGCTTGGCTTCCCATTGCACACAGGCAGGGCGTCGTGATTTCCTTTATTTCTTTCCTCCTAGAGGAATGCAGTTTAGCTTTGGTGGAGGGTGCAGGTCGATTACTTGGACAGGTTTAATTGCTTTGACCTGAGTGGGCCGAGAGTGGATTCATTTCTCAGTGAGAAAAGCACTGGAAGGCGACTTGAAAACCTGTCAAAGGAAATGGGAGAGGGCTCAGGGCATTATCTTTGCAGTAAATAGAATTGAYAAAGAAGTCAGTGAAAGGGAGCTTATTGACAATGCCCGGATTTTGTGGCTAGRCACTTTTGATAGTTTTGTTCAGTAGGAAAATGGGCTTCTCTGTTTGCTTTTTGTAAAGCACAGGCAAAGAATTGCCATAGCAGAGGAAAATCTCAATTTGAACTGTAATTCCCTCTCTCCTAGAACACGTCAGTAATGGAGGATCAGAATGAAGATGAGTCTCCAAAGAAAAATACCCTATGGCAGGTAAGACGCTCATTCTCACAAAGATAGTTGGTGTCATTTTCCATGTTCTGCCTTCCTGGGGACCTTCTCAAATCGCTTGCTTTGCACATTTACCATCAACTTCCGTCTAGTTGACTTTGTCATCCTAAAATTAGCTCAGCCTTCACGTGAAGGATGACATTGAATGATACTCGACGAATGACTGGATCTTCTCAGGTTGTGTGTCTTTGCACAGACCTCAAGCTGGCATGAGCTGCAGCTTGAAGGGTCCGGAGGAAYGCAGCCTGACGTTTCGCAGCTGTGTCAGAGAGTTTTGCCACGAGCCTTATTTGGAGAAGTTTGGGAATTGTTTCAAAGAGGGATAGTTGCTCCCCAGGAACCCTTTTGGACCCTTGAAGGACTCAGATGAACCTGGCATGGATCTTTGAATCTCTATACATTAGTAATAAGCCCTGGTGTGTTCTTCTCCAGAATKATTATTTTTAGCTTTAATTCCCAGCATTTAGCTGCTGGACAGCTACGCAGAAGATGATAATCTGTGTATTCTAGTTGCATATTGACCTGGATCTCCCAAGCATAGGCATGAAGTGTTTTTCAAATACTAAATAAACCCTTGATATGATATAATCCTCTGTGTTCGCTAATGGGATAAGCAGTTCAACACCCACGTTAGGGTCTTGAATTTTATGTTCTGATTAGAGAATTGATACCAAACTTTCTTATATCACTGCTGCAGGAGCCTGTAAAACGCTTGTGGATGCAAACTGCAGTTTGTGGCAGAAACCACTGGTTTAGTGTGRAGATATTTGCTCTGAAAAGAGCAGTTTCCTGCTCTTTACACTATGAGAGGAAAGAACAGCCAGAGGTAGGAGAAGTCTGGCAGTGCAAAAGAACTTAGAATTAGGAGCAAGGGTTTTTCATTCATCCTCATCGGCGACAGGCGAAGCTTATTTGATGTGATGACTTTAACMGTCCATTCCAAAATGTGCTGGTTACTTCTGTGTAGCTTCTCACACTATCTTCCTTGGTAGAGTTCTGATAAAGAATGCCCATGTTCATATTGAAATAGTCACTTTGAGTTTTTGCTTTTTCCTTAAAATAGATAAGTAATGGGACTTCATCTGTGATTGTCTCGAGAAAAAGACCATCAGAAGGAAACTACGAAAAGGAAAAAGACTTGTGTATTAAATACTTTGACCAGTGGTCTGAATCAGATCAAGTTGAATTTGTAGAACACCTCATTTCACGAATGTGTCACTATCAGCATGGACATATWAACTCTTACTTGAAGCCCATGTTACAACGGGACTTCATCACTGCGTTACCAGGTAATTAATATTGTACGAGAAGGGGTTATATAAATACAAAGTTTTTTATACTTTAGGGTATATACCAGCTTCTCTTGAATATCCTTTAGATTCGGTTTGTGTCTTATAAATGATGTGATGTTTCTAAATCAAAGAAATGTAGGTGGGTGCCTTAAGTCAYTCACATCTGTGATTAATTGAATTATTGAATTGGCCACTGGATGCCAGTGTTGTTCCRTGTAAAAGCAGCGTGGACAGCATGTTCTGAAGAACAGTTTGTGTTTAAACTGGCTCGGAGTTGCAAAAGTGGAATCTCTATATGTTCTCCCCTAGCTTCCTTTCTAATCCCAAGCCCATAGGTGTAGAAAACACTGTATGGATCCGTTTGTGAAGTCTTCATTACATTTTTACATTTTTACCTAAATTTCCCAAGCCTTTAAAAGAGAAAAATATCACTTCCCGCCTCCAACCCCACCCTCCACCCCCCCAAAAAAAAAAAAAAAAAATAGTAGCTGTCTACTCAGATAAGTGAGTCTAGTCATTTGTGTGGTCTTGTTACTGGCTCAAGAATAATTTGTAGGGTTTTTATAGTCCAGGTCCTTTCTTCGATTGCTCAGAACCATTTCTACCTCAGGTGAGTGTAAATTTGTTGTCAGTACTTGGAATATGAAATCTGTTCTGTGCTTACTGTATTCCTTTCTTTAAAACACTGTTCCAAAGCCTGGGAGCAGTAATAAATAAATGCTGTGTATAAAAATATATTTGTACATACATACATGCACACACCTTTTAGCTTTTAACTATCCTTATAAGAAATATACATATATTTTTCATTAAGATCAGAATGGACTTGTATTCCTGGTTTCTTGCTGGCAGACAGCTTGGTCCATTTAACTCTTTGAAAGGTAAACGCATGGACATGTTTTCCAAAAGAGAACATAAAACAGGTCCTAAAGTTCCATTTGCACTGCCAGAGCAGTAGCACAGAGCCAGACCTGAGGTGAGCAGGCAGTGATATGAGCCTGGGTAAGAAGGTAAATGTCCACCTTGATTTCCTCCAGCAGGAAGCCAGCATCCATTCAAACAGTGAAACTTCCCTGTAGGATTAGAAGCTGATAATTTAGCGGGTGCAGGAAGCACTTGCCTCCACAGGCTGCTGCTGTCGCAAGCTCTGAAGCTTTTTGAGCCCTTGGTGTCCTCGGCTGGTCTCCTGTGCATGGAGTTTTCTGATACCTACCAGCAGGAAAGTTAGATCTTTATTTTTTAATATTGCAGTTGTCTTAGCATTGAAGCTTTAGGTTTCTGTTCTCTCTAGGACTGTATTATTTTCACAAAGCCTGGGTGAGTTTAACTTCTGGAGGTGTGAGAGAGTTTCTGCTCATCTGTCAAGTGTGGCTGCAGTGAAGCAAGTCAGTAGCTGGAAATCGGGAGTAGGGAAATGAAGGAAGTCAGTGAAGGACACAGGCAGTGATGCACAATCTCATTTGTGCTCTGTTTTCTCAAGAAAAACATGCAAAAATGAGGGAAGAAGCTAGGCAAAAAGGGAAGATGCCCTTTTCCCAAACCTGAATTTTGTGGAGCTTAGAGGTGATTTGGCTCTCTTAGCCCCTATGCACAGGATGGGTTCCTAGTTTTGGTGATGAAATGTGAGATGAAAATTTGATGGGAAATCTTGGAATGGATTTTAGTAGCCGGGGCATCAAATCATATATTATTAAAAAAAAAAAAAAAAAAAAAAGCATTTTACAGTAAGCAGTACAAAACCAACCTCTTCTATTGAAAAAAACATATTCTTCAAAAGGTTTTCGTAAAGTAAATATGAAATAAAATCTCAAGTCTTGCATATTTAAAGGTAAAGTTTATATTCCAGTGCACATTCATTCCTCCTTAAGTTGCAGTAAGGTGAGTAAGTTTCTGTGAAAACTAGCTGAATTTGGGAGACTGAGTGCTAATGGTTTTTTCCCGTGCACATTAGGCACAAGGAAAACTGTATTTGAACATGTAGTGTTTGAGTAACTCCTAAATAATTTGTTCCCAGGAATTTAATCTGAGCTGCTTGAAATGAATCCCACGCCAGGCTAATACTGCATTAAAAGATAACAATGTTTTTAAAGTTGAAGCTCTCTGAAGAAGTCAAATTCCTGTGTTGAAAATACTCCCTGCTTGCTGCTATCCCTGCCGATTTTCACACCTGTGAGTGCAGGAGAAATGGAAAACATTTGTGGTATCTGGCTTCCCTTTGCTTTAGTGGAAAAAGTGATAATTACGAGGCACTTCTCTGTAAGCAGCAGGTAGGATGTTTAGTCTGCAGGGTCTGGCCCTGCACATTGGTTTTTCCAGCAACACTAGGGAAGGAGCAGGCTCCAACGGGCAGTCTCATTGCAAGGAGAGCTTATGTCCCCCCCTGAATTATCTCTAAGATGCTCACTGGTCTCTTCCTTGCAAGGTCTCATTCCCTGAATGAATTACAGTCCTGACTCTCAAGTTTCTCTCTTTTCCCCTTGGATTAGGGGGAAAAAACTCCATTTTATATCTGCTTTATGTGCCAAAGCTCAGAGCTGTGTGAGGCAAGGGAAGCCCTGCCAGCGCTCCACTGAAATTCGTTTCCAAAATAACCAAAGGCTGAGCAATTGCACAATCTGAGCGACTGTTTCATATCTCCTGTTGATGGGTTTTAGGGGACTGACACCCCACATTTGGCTTGCCTTTTCATCCAAAGTGATATTTACACATTGGGCTTTGAAATYGCGGTGGGTTTTAATTGCTTTAATTTATTACTGGAATTCTACCAGCCCTTCATCTAGTTCCTCTAATCAACCACAGCTGTAATTCTTTACCATTTTCCTATAAAACTGCAAAAACTGTTGAGGCATGAGAGTCAGGAGTAAAGTTCTTTGTTTCTTTGAAAAGCATACTGATAAATGATAGGTGCATTTTATTAAAGAAAATGTGTAATTTTTTGCTTCCACTGTCAGAAAATGATGTTTAAACAACCCTTTCACTGACCTGAAATGTAAAATGGGGCTTTGTAACTTGGAACTTCCATAACTGAAATGGGAGGGAATCTTGCACGGTCTTGGAGTGAAGTGTGTTGGCTCCATCTGAAAATYGGTGCTTTGCACCAGTTCCTGCTATGTTAACTGGAGTCGCTACTTTCCATTCCCTGTTTTTGATGTGCGTGGTGTAAATCTGTGCATGTTTGCTGGTAGTAAAGAGAGCAGGCTGAAGAGTGGGCAAAGCACTTGGGTGGTTGTGCTGGCACAGTGTTCGGGACTGAGAATATTCATAGAAGACCAGCTTGCTGTAATAGCCCTGCTGTTTCTGACCATTCAAGCTGACTTTGTGACCTGTGCAATGCAGAATTGGAAAGATTATGTAGCTAATAATTCACAACTGGTCCTTAAAACCAAGTGAAATTGCTGACTCATAAGGCAGGCCGGACGCGGTGATGAAGGAGCAGAGCCACAAATGGCTAAGAGGGGCTTGCCCAGCTTGGTCGCCATAAATTTATTAATGCCCTTGTGCAAATGAGAGGGGGCAGCTGATTGCTGGTGGTTTTCATTCAAAAATATGGTTTAGGTCATTGAAAAATCAACAAGCATTACGTACAGGGATTGTGCTGTGAGAAAAAGGGCCCAAAGAAGCATTAGGTAGCCAAGTCATTAAGTGCTGGACCTCGACCCCTTGGGTTAGGTCTCCCTGAGCAGTATATAGTGCAGCTACATAAAAATCCTCCTGTAAGGGAGGTAGTTGCATCTAGATATTCATGAAAAGAGTCCTAACCGATAGGGGAATGAAAAAGCTTGCTAAGGAATGTGATCTTCTTCATGCCTTGTTCACGTGGAGATGATGACTTCTTAGAAACCTTAGTCTGGTCTCGCCTGGAAGTGCTTCGTGTATGCTGTTGAACTGGTCTCTCTTTATAGTTGGGTTTCACAAAGGTTTCTCTGTGTCTTGGAGAAGTTGGAGGCGCCGCCTTGGTCCTTGGCATCCAGGCCGCAGTTGGAGACCCCAGGGCTGCAGCCTTCTCCTTATGACATAGCAGCTCCCTGAGCGGCTTGGGCTGCTGGAAAATGCCCTGAGAGGCTTTTGAATCCCTTGGAATGGGCTTTTAATGGAGTATGGTGACTGTCTGCTTTTTAACTGCTTAAGGAGTCTCAAAATAGACATTAAATCAAACTCTCTGAGCCTCTCTCAAATGCCTGGCTGCTCCTACCAAGGGCTTCCAGTGCAGCTGGTTTGCTGCGAAGAGGGGAATAACGCTGCCTGTGCCGTAGCGGGAGGAATTACTGTGTCCGATGGTGCAGCAACGCGATGAGGTTTTAACTCRTCGCTGTTGAGCAGTGTTGGAAATGGGGCGTCCTCCTGCTGTCTCTGCCCTTTTTGTAAGATGGCATTTCCTTCTACCGAAACTCCTGCTTGAGAGGCCCCACGCTTTGAGGGACATCTCAAGCTCGGCCATAAGCAGATCTGCTCGGGGGGTTCTGCATGACCGTGTCCGAGTGGAGCAAGAGGGAAGACAAGGGCATCTGTAGAGTTCAGAGGTGGCTTTGCGGTGCAGTTTCCTRTTTAAGTCTATTATTGGCAAGTCTGCAGCTTATAGGAGCCCATCTTCTTTGCGGGGAGAGGATCGTTTTGGCTGTTGCCAGGAGATGGCAGTAACAGAAGTTTTCCATCTATGGACAGAAGGTTGGGCGGGAGCCAGATTTGAGCATCCTTGGGAGCTGCTGCTTTACCCCAAATGTTCAACTTTGGCATTTCAAAGTTTGCTCGGGGCTGTGAACAAGATGTTTGTGACACATTCACTGGCAGCCGGGCTGCCTTGTCCTGCGACCCTCCTTCCTTCTCAAGTATCTGATTGAAATATCAAATTCCAGTTGCCCTAAGTGKTTTTTTTTTCGTTGTTTTGTTTTTAGCCAATTATAGCAAGAACAGGTCTCCAGTCTAAAAATGCTGCTGCAGATGTGATTATTTTACTAGGCTGGAGCCATGAGGCAGTCATCCTTYCCAGGTTTTCCATGAGAAAAGCCTCCTTGTAGGTACCTGTCCCCACAGGCTGGTGGTCATTCCCTTCTACTTGAGTCAGCGTATTTTTTTACATCACAATATTAAACTCTTATAATAATTTCTGGCTCTACTGCTTTCACTGCAGCCTGCTCCTTATTAACATGTCGTTCCTTCTTGCTCTGCAGTGCTTCGTCTTTATATTTAACTGCTGGGCTGGCAACGTAACAGCTTGATAGTGATGGAACTTAACAATCAGTTAGGTCATTCCTTAAACGTTATATGGTCCCGTAATTACCTGATAATTTGACTCAGTATCCTTGTAGGAAGTACGTGTATATATGTGTTTTYTGTCTGTCTGTGCCTCGCTTTTCTCTAGCCCTGAGCTGGAGCAGACGCGTGCTGGGAGGTCACTAAAAGCACTAGCTTAGTTGGAAGAGGGAGGAGGGGTGTTACGGCACTGAAAATGGCTTTTGAAAGAAAAATAGTGCTGCAAAATGGGAGCCTTAAACACTTCTTAACTTAGGCAAGAGCCTGGGTGTGCTGCTGTGTTAATACTGCGTTTGCAGGGGTGGTTTTTAATTGCAGTCACAGAGCACACCCGTGGCTTCCAGACCGGAGGGATGCTGAGTCAGCCACCCGCTCCCTTTATTTTATTGCAGAGGCCGCCTCCACTCTGCGTGATGACTTATACTTCCTGATACCACGTGCTTCTAAAATGGCACTAGGATTCATTTCCTGGAAAACCTTGGACTCTTCCAAATCATATCTTAATAGAATAGCATATTTATTCCCCCTTTTTAAATAAATACATCCTAAACGAATGTTTAAAGTTGTATGGTTGATATCCCCTAGAAGGAGTAGGAGTTGCAGCCCCTTTTACAATTTACATAAGACTCTGATTTTTTTTTCAAGCAAACATATGAGACCCAACCTCCAGTTACTTGAATCTTAATGTGTATATATATAAGTTGTTTCCATTTGACTACTCCTTTTTTAATGCATGAGTAATTGGCATACAGGAATCACTCAAGTTATTCTAGATTTTTGATTTCGAGGAATTTTGGGGCAAAGTCTTTTTAAATAGGTAACAAAGAGTAACAAACCTTCTTCTGGTTTCTCATCTGACCAGTGGCATTTTGGCAGGAATGTGAACAGGAAAAGTCCGAATACTCTTAAATCTAATGCAAATAGACCGAGTGTTTTCCCCCTGTGTACCTTTACTCAACTCCAGTCCCATTTGTTACATAACATCCAACAAAGCCACAAGCAAATGCACGCTGTGTTTGCCAAAGGAATTTAATGCCTGGATGTATACATCTGGTGGTAGTTTATTGGTTCCTCGTGTTCTTCTCTGATCATCCTTCACTGATGTTCTTCTCTCCACCAGCTTAAATTCCTATTGCTTTTGGATAAATTCTAACAGACAACCATGTGATAGCCCCATAGCAACAGTCTGGATCCTCAATTTTGATTCCTTGGAATTATATTTGGTGTTGAGCATCTAACCATGCTGTGGTGCAGAGAAGCTACCAAGTTAAGAAGCTGCTTCTCGTTGTTGGGACCCTTGAGCTGAAAAAGTCCCCTAATACTTACTACTTGTTGCCCTTATTCTGTAGGCTCAGAGTGTGAGTTGTCCCCCTGGATGTTGCTGCTTCCATATCCGAGTAACTGAGCTTGGAAGTTGGGACACTAGAGTAGAAGACAACTGAGACATCTTCTTGGTCATGGCTCCTGGCAGCTTTTACTGCCAGAGGGCTTGCATTTGGAGTCGTGTTGCATTACCTGAGTTTTGTTTCGATATGTTGCTAAACTCTTGGACACAGCAAGGTGGAGTTTGTGAAATCAACAGTATCAAATCCGTTGTGCACCTCACCACTTTCCATGCATGGGCCATCAGGGTGGAAGAGCAGCAGCTGAAGAAAAGACGCTAAGAAAACATCTAACGATATTTATGGATTTTGGATTAATGATATTTATGGATATTTAAAATACGCTTGGGCAATCTTTACTAAATTTATTTTTCACAAGTTTATAGTGTAGTAGCTGGATTGTCACCTCTCGGAGAAAATTATCTGAATTATTTCTAGGATAAATCATTGAGTAGTTTCCTAAGGATGGGATCTAGTGCTGGTAAACTGTGAATCACCGTAGTGCTCTGGGGTGTTAAAGCACTGTTCAGCATTACTGACTTAATTTTCACCTCCTGCTCATTGGTTTCCCCAGCTCACAAGGGTTTGCAGCGCATGGTCTCTCCCCGAGATGCATTACCACCAGATTCCTGATCCAAATTCAGGATTGGGCTGGGCACATGTAGGTAACAGAAAAGGTTTGAATGGGAAATGTTCTTCAGTTTGATGCAAGGAAGATTTTTCAGAATCTCCGCTACTGCTCATTCTGCTGAGGGGCTCCTTGTTCCAGGGGAGCCCTGTCCTGCTCCGTTGACTTCACCTAAATTCTTAAGAGTTGTTAAATGCAAAGGAGTAGTAAAATAATCAACATTTTAGTTGTGTATTACTGCTGCATGGTAATGCATATATTTGAGGAAAGTTTCCTTTTGGACTGCATAACTGAGGRTTCTCCAAGGCCCCAGCAGGAAAACAGCTCCTTGTTCTGTGGTGAAATTTGTCCTACATCCCCTCACTGTGAGGTCAGCAAGCAGGCTGTGCTGGGAAAGGAGTTAGATTTTCCTACAGATGAGATTTTTTAGCGTGGTTTGTAACTAAAACTTCTACTTTCTCCTCATGCTAACGTGATTATCGCTTTGTTCCAACACTTTAAATCTGCATTGCCATTTCCTGGACATCCTAYGAAACCTGATGGAGGGTGGTGGTTTGCTGCGATGTGCCTGACGCTTTCCTTGGCTTCTCTCCTCCGCAGAGCAAGGCTTAGATCACATAGCGGAGAACATCCTTTCCTATCTCGACGCCAGATCACTGTGCGCGGCAGAGCTGGTGTGCAAGGAATGGCAGAGAGTCATTTCGGAGGGAATGTTGTGGAAGAAGCTCATAGAACGCATGGTACGCACGGACCCGCTGTGGAAAGGTCTGTCGGAACGGCGGGGCTGGTGAGTACCTGGACAACCCCCACGTTCGCCCTGTGCTGTTACAGTCCTCTCCGTTTCTGTGAGAGCAGGTTCTGCCAAGCAGTAATTTTAGAGTTCGTTAGTGTCAACGAGGGCCTGCTCTTGTGCAYGTGTGCTGAGGCAGCTGCATCCTTCTTCCTGCTTAAACCTTTTTGCGTCCTCTCTAAGACGACTGATTGGGCCCCAGACATCTCTTTTGTACAGAAAGCTTCAAATGACTGTAATAACTGATATTTTTCCCATGCTTTACAAGTATCTGAAGATACAAGGTGCTCTGCTTTAGCAGGTTGTTTTTCTGTGCTCTCTAGTGGTGCACCTAAGAAAATGCAAGGCATTTATAAAGAGCTGTGCAAGAGCAGGACACCCTACGAGCAAAAAGCCTTACGAGGCAGGAAACCCTGATTCAGAGAACCATAAAGAAAATATCTGTTTTCAGTCATGGGCATTTTGAATACAGCTGTGAAATGGTAAAATCCCAAGGGTTAAAATTTGAATGCTAAGCACTGTGATAAGTACTCTGTGAAAATGTGTTGCACATTTTAGTTCACTGCATCTTTTAAATCCCTTTAGTGTCCTGTGATTCCATGTACTAAACTGAAAAATGTTTTTCTGGTTCTTTCTAGGGATCAGTACCTGTTTAAAAACAGACCAACGGATGGCCCCCCAAATTCATTTTACAGGTCCTTATACCCAAAGATAATACAGGATATAGAGGTACGTTTTCTGATGTATAATATCTGCAACAGGAATAATGCTTTACACTCTTAATGTTTCAAACGTGTTGATGTTAGACCAAAGTAGTAAATTGCATGTRTTTATATCACAACTACTGGTGTGAGTTCTGGCTCTCCCGAAACTGTAAAAATAATAGTTGTAATAATAGCAACTTGCTGGTACAGTATGTGCATTTTTGGGTTACTTAATAGGTTACTTAATACTTATTAATACCACCTTTTTCACTTAAAGATTTTGGAATTCTTCTGAAACTGTGGGTTTTCATATCAATCATCTAAACTTTAAATTTACTGGTTAAATTGCTTGTTACTTTTAAAGCTGTCATCTCAAATACAACTTGCTTTGGTATATGGGATTCTTCCCCCCCCCCCCCGCTTTCCTGTGACTTTGATAACCAAAAATAAGCAGTCCTATCATGATAAACTCTTCAAGGCTTTCAGTGGTAACAGACCAGAAAGATGATGATTATTTCCCTTGAGTTTTTGTCTTATCTTGAGCTAAGCTCACTTAAACTTTTAACATATTTCTAACAGATCAAGATGCCTTGGTATTCTGCCTACTGGCAGAAAAATTAAGTCTTGCTCAGTTTGCTACCTACCCGTGGCAGAAGCCTAAATTTTTCCATGGGTTACAATACACTTATTTCAAACATGTGATGCACATAAAATTACTGATCTGAAAATCATTAGTTGGGGAAACACATGTTTTTTGTTTTAAGGCAGATGTGAACAAGTCAACAATCATTCTGCTCTGGCAAATGTGAGTTTGTGTTGCTTGGCGCTCAGTAAACCTCATTATTCAGAATTTCAGCCTATCTGTAAAATGTAGCTGCTGCCAAGTATCATCTATTTTTTGAATATTATTTTTATAAAGCTTGCTACGTCATTTTTGAGTATTTAGTTTTATAGTGCTAACTAAGGCAAAATAAAGCCAATCTGAATATTTATTTCTGAGCTGAATGTTACAAGGTTTATTACTTGAAGTCAAACCTGCACTGTCTAAGGAATCACAGAGTGCCTCGGGATGCTCCAGTGCCCACTGGAGTAATGGCAATTCTCAATGTGTAGTTTCTTGCTTTGCATGAAAGTTCAGCCTTGTATAGCAAAGAAAACAGGCCAAAGGCAGTGTGGAAATGCGATAATAGAGAAGATATAAARCAGTCAAGTTGTTCAGTATTATTATATTCCAGATTTTTACGTTTATGCCTCTAAACAGTACAAAGGGACTAGTTCTCTACAGTGTTCTCATTATTGTTGAAGTGTTTTTGGCAACAGAAGTAGAGTWACAATTTACTATGGTGGGTGCTGATTTGGGTTGAGAGTAGAGCTGAGCTCCATGGAGAACGTGGCCTCTCTTCTGAATCGACTGTCAGTATTTGAGAAGGAATCCAAGCTAACACACAGAAGGAAAAGTAAGGARTGCAAAATAGCTCACCTGAACTCCTCCCCTTAGATCCTCTGACCTTTAGGGTCAGAAGTTTGGCAGTCACCGTGTTAGCTGCAAGGTAACGTAGGCTGCAAACGCTGCAAGCTGAGTAGCACTGGTAGCTGCTTCTTGCATGCCAAAGACRTTCAGTAACCTAATGTGACTTCTGAAGTCATTGGGTTTGAAAATAAGACGATATTTAGAGATCTGAAACCAAATTCTTGGAAAAAGATAGTTACACCTCATCTTTGCTATGAGAGCAAGAATTGAATTAGGTTTCGTTTCACAAGAGGTGGCCCAGTAGTTTTAAATGCCTCTAAGTTGGACATTGAATTGCCAAGCTGCTTAAGGAGCCCTTTTAGGGAGAAAACCTTGTTGGGGCTTAACTTCGAAAACTGTGTATGTTTATGGGTTTATGAGGCTTATTTGTGGAGATGACATGCCTGGTCCCTGGTRTGTCTGGATGAGGTCCCAAAACGTGGTGTTGAAGGTCAGCTGGCCTAAGTGGATCATGTTAATCAGCAGATTGCCGAAATGTGAAGTTTAATAGTGTTGATACCAGAACCCCAAGTTCCTGGATTTTTTTCCATATTAATTATGATTCTTGGCCAACTGTTCGGTTTTCCCTGCAGAATTAGCACAAACAACTCTCTCTCGTGATGAACCAAGAAGACATAACTATTACCTTATCTTCAGGTCCATGGAAAGTGCCCTCATCTTGCTTCTACAGAGTCTTAAGGTCCCCTTGATTAAGAGCAGAATTATAATGTAATTTTGCTAGAGACTTGAGGATAGAACAGTTCCGGGCCGATACATCTGTTCTTCTCGATGTTGAGAAGTTCGCATTTCATAACTAGAAAATCTTGAATATAAAAACTTAAAACTTGAACTTGAAAATCTTGAATATAAAAGAAGGGGGAAAAAGTCATCCCTTACTGCAAAGCACTGCTGTCTTTGGGAAATCTTCGATCTAATGTATAATTTTTAAGGAATTGTTTTTGTTTAGTAGTGTCTTAATTATGAAGCTTGGCAACTTGTGTGCATTGGGCTATGGTGCAGATCAGGTTGGCACTATGTGCTTGAGAAGGGGTTCTCTTTTCAATTACCCATTGAAGTCTACTCTACGAGCTAGCGTTTTTCAGAAGTTTCTTCTGCAAAATGAAGCTGGCCAGTGGATGGAGACCTTAGAGTGATGGAGACAAAGTTGTGGAGACCAAGTAGTGCACGATTAGGAGTTTAGCCCCCAACTCTGCAAGGAGAGACAAGCAACTTTCAGGTCACTTGAGTACGACAGATCCTTGGCCTGGCCTTTTATTCCCATTGCCTGTGTCACAAGTACTTTCTAAAGGCAGGCAAACCAAACCTGCCCTTTGTCTTCTGCAGGTTTGCAAGAGCATTTATTGCTCCTGTGCAAGTTCATGGTGTGCCCAGCTATGACAGAGGTTTGCAAGTACCTGTTGAAGTGGAGCTTTAACTTCATATATTTATGGTAGTGTGCATGAAGTTATTTATTGACTCAAATGGAAACTAAAAKGGACATTTTGAGGGTTTGATAGCACCATTCTTGGCCGGTTGTTCGGTTTATTACAGGTGCACAGGCCATTGAAGTACCTCATAGGACCCCTCTCTGCTTTCATTGCTTTTTGCTTGTATTTATTTTTTTTTTAATTTCCTCTATAGATCTGGAAGGGCTTGATTTGTTGTGCAGTGAACAGCAGCTGCTTTTTGCTGTCGCTGTGGAGTCAGCAAGAGGCCTTTTAAAGCTATTTTGAGGCTTCATCTGTAACCTAAAAACTTGCAATTTTATTATGTCAGTGAAGGGGATTTCAGAGAGCACCAGCAAGACCCATCCATGGGTGTCGTGGTGCTCACRGCCACAGGGATGGAAAGGGCTTGTTTAGGAGCTGCTGCTTTGGACCACTTGGGGACCATGTCTGTAGCAACGCTTCACAAAGAAGATGTTTCTGGGAAGATCAAATAGGAACCGAGAGGATTTTTGCTCCACATCCCTAACCTGGGAAAGGAGAAGACTGCACAGGTCAGATCAAAGATGCAGCCAGCACCTTTGCAGTCTCTGCAGAAAATAATTTGCTCTGTTCCTCTACCTCTAGGGCATGTTCCACTGTCTGGATTTTTCTCACTGAGCATGATGGAGTTTTTTCTTGTTCCCCCTTTGTTTTAATGTGGCTTCAGAAAGGCCCTGCCAAACTGCAGAGAGACCTGGCTGGTTTTCCTTGGTGGACCTTTGGGCAACCCCCTGCGTATTGAATCAGTTGTGTGCAGAAAGACAACACTGCAGCAGTTTATGTTGGTCACATGTGAATYTTATCTAAGCGGCCGTCAACATTTAGGACCTTAATTTTTAGGTCTCGAATTCTGCCAAAATTCACGATTTGATTGTARTGCTTCTTAGGAAAAACTTCCTGTCCCTCTGTTACTCTGCGACTCTCATCCCTGTGTGTCCACCCAGTTCCCATCAGGTGCTACCGGGGAGCAATCCAAGTCTTCTGGGCAGGGTGTTTCATGCAACTTTTCTTCCGAAGGCCGAAATTCCTTCTTCACGCGCTCACTGTTCTCTGCCTATGTTTGTTTTTCTAAATGATGTAGTAGCTGAGAAGCAATGTCGGGCTTTTGGGACTTGCTTGGCCCTTCTGACATCAAAAGAAAGGAAAACCCTAACTTCAATGTTATTTCTCATGTTTGAAAGGCTGACACCAAGTAACCTCCATTCTTAGCCTCTCCTTCAACAACTTGAGTGTCATAAGAAGTATCTGAGATTCCCAAGATCCAGGCTATTCTCCAGGTCTGTACCTGGCCTTTATGTTTCTGGGCTTAGCATATAGGAAGGGAGAGACAAGAAGCTGAACAAAACATGAGCCTATGTATATCCCTGATACAAATGAGATAACTATTGATAGAGATTTAACGTAGGAGAAATGTGGTTGGGAGCCCAAGGGAGCCCAAGACTCRGGGGGAACCTCTGGGAACTGCTTTYGTAGCTAGTGTATATGTTAGCAGTTGCTTCAGTATCATAGGTGTGTAAATAAAGCAGGGGGCTCTTCAGCACTGAGTCCACRGTGCTTGTAGCAGCCCATAAAATACGGCAATTTCTTCGTCTCCTCTTGCATGTGCCCATCTGCCATCTCAGCATAGGCACTTCATGAAGTTATCTCCTGGAAGGAGGTTGTAACTGAAGACTTGCTGCACTCTGGAGTACCAACCAGCCTTTTCCTCCACCAAGAAGCCTTCATGTGGTTGCCACTGCTCAACACGTTCCCTCTCAGAGGGTCGCCCGGGTTGCCCACCCACTCAGCTGGGTTCAGTCAGCTAAAGCAATGTTATTTCTCTATATGTGCACATTTGCTTTCACCAATTTAAATGCTGCTCTATATGCTGTGTGTTTCRTGGCTGCTTTCCCAGCACATTGCAGATTTATGCAGTGTAAGGGGGATTTTACAAGTCCTCCAGAAACAAGAAGTGCTTTCCATAGTAGCCACACCRTGCAACATCTAAATGAAATGGCATCTACTTGCAGAATTAAAACATGCACCTGCATGTGACTTACTGCTTTCTGGTGCCTTTGCATAGCTATAAGTAATAACTGGAGCTTCTCTTATTTGAAGGCRGCAGTTTCTTATAGCAGGCTTATTCGGTGCATTCCTGTAGGGAGCTTGGAGGAATTAAACCAGCTGCCTGGTTTGTTCAGGGGCTGCATGTTGCAGACAGGATTTGTGATGTTCTTGCTGTATCCCAAAGCCGTGGGCAGTGGTTGCTGCTTTGTGAAGGGGCCGGGGTGGTGTCAGGGAACTGGGATAGCCCATTTGTGTTACATAAAAGTGCATTTTCAGACCTTTCCCCCTARGTGGCTTTAAAGGAAAGTCTCCTTTGAGCTCGTCTTAGAATTAGATTTCCAGGCATACATGGTTACTGGAACTGTTGGAATTGGTTAGCGTGGATCTGTGACACCGGAGTCTCATGTGTCTCCGGTCCCAGTGTGTTGCCGTGGGATCTTTATTATCCTGGTTCATGCTACGAGTGTTTAAACTCATCTCCATTTCTGAGCATAGCCTATCCCCTCTCTGACAGCAGGGAGTTAAGGAACTGCAGTTCCCCCCTCAGAGCTCAGGTGATAAATCTCCACGAAAAGCTTTAGGATTGCGTCCTGGTGCCAGGCCTTCCTCGTGAAACCTTCATGGTCTGCTGTGGATGCTTCCAGGTAGGAATCTAGGCCTGAACCGGCATCAGAGCTGCAAACAGTCTAATAATGAGCAGTGCACTAGAGGCTGATGGACCTCAAAGCGCCAAGTGACTTGTTTTGATTCACTAGCTATTCCAGATCAGAAGCAAATGAAGGTGGGAGGGGTGGTCAGTAACTTGTCTGCATGTCCCTCCAGAAGCTTGTCGTGGTTCTTAGCATTTAGATCCGTGAGACACATCAGGGTTGTTCGAGCTGTGTGCAGTCCTCTCTAAATTGCACAATGGGAGCAAGAGCGTGGAAAACAAAGCGGCAGAGTAGSCACCGTTTCTGAAAATTAAGCAGTGAAAGCGCAGAGCGGTTTTGCCCCGAGTTAGAGCTCCGGTGGCTTTTAGGGCTTTGGGAGAGGAGGAGGAGCTGCAGGGTTGCGCAGAGCAGCCTGCTGCTGTTTAAAGTGAACATCTGGGCTRTAAATACCCGTTTTTCTGATAAAATGACTGATGATCAGCTTCTCTGCACCTCCAAAAATGCTGCTTGGAAATTTGGAGGGAGAACCCAGGGAAATCATCACATAAATGTCCCCTTTGAATACAGGGCAGCGTTYTGTCCAGCCTAGGGACTACAGATGTTGGCATGCACTTCTGCACCCTCCTCCTCCTCCCCCCATGACTTGTCACTGCAAACTTTCCAGCTTATATCCCTGATTTCCTTGAAAATTTCCTTGGGTCTTCCCCAAACTAATAAGTCTGATTAAAATATAGGAATGACTTCTGGTTCACTCCGAAAATAGTTTGCAACCTGTTCATATGTGCCAGGTTTCTTGCCTTAAAAATCTCTCTCGAAATAAGCATGTTGAGGACTAAGATGAATAGCGAAGGATGTGCAAAAGCTTGAATAACTTAAGTTAGGTTGAAATCCTACAGTCCTTGTTCTGTTATTCGTAGATTTTTGTTGGGTTTTAAGGCGCTTATAGGAACCTTTCATATTTCAAAGCCACTTTGAGATGCAGGGCAACGACTGGATCAAATAACTGGATGGGGATAGGAGAGCTGCAGTGGCCTCCACTGGGGGCTCAGCAGCTCTGTGGTGTTTGTTACCTGTGTGATGCTGAACACGGTTTTGTGCAAGTTTCTGAKCCATCTTTGCTGCTGGTGTCAGGTGCTGTGGTATGTGCCAGGGAGAACAGATTTTTGTGGATTGTATCTCCCTAACGATGACTTTGAAGATGCTCCTGAGAGCCAATTGGATTTGACCTTCTGTCACTAATCACAGTTAGGTTTGGGTTAGGGCAAAACACAGAAGTACCAACTCTCATATGTTGTTTTATGCGTTTCTATTGGGGAAAAAAAGGTACATTTCAGGTTTACATGTTCAGTGTTAAGGAGTTGGGAACGATGGTGGTGTAGCAGTTGCCGCAGCCGTGAGAAAGCAACGCAGCCTTAGGAATAACACCTAGTTGTTTTGCCCCCTTCTTAGACTATCGAATCTAACTGGCGCTGTGGGCGGCACAACTTGCAGAGGATTCAGTGCCGCTCCGAGAACAGCAAAGGYGTCTACTGCTTACAGTACGACGATGAGAAGATCATCAGTGGCCTACGGGATAACTCCATTAAGGTAAACACKGTTTTTCAGTCTTTTCTCTAGAGATAAGCAGGCAGTTCTGCCTTGGTAAGATACCTCTTTGCATTTCTTTGATGATTTCGGTCATCTCATCCCAGGACGCTGTTTATCTGTATCTTATAAACCTTGGTTATTCACTCTGCTGTCAAAAACTTGTGTCATTAGACTAAAGGGAGGAAAGGCCCTCTGCTTAGATGGGGTAACTACCCRTGGATTCTTCTTTCTACCCCTGGTGTCCATCTGTCCTTCTCTCTTACTGCAGTGYGAAAATCTTTGGCTTTTGAGCTTAGTAAGCAGGTTATACTTTTTATTTTTAATAGATCTGGGACAAAACAAGCTTGGAATGTTTGAAAGTATTAACAGGACATACCGGCTCCGTTCTTTGTCTGCAGTATGACGAGAGAGTTATTGTAACTGGATCTTCAGATTCTACAGTGAGGTGAGTGTTAAGCTTTGGTGCAAAGATGCTTGAGTGTCAGGGCTGGGCATGCTTGTAATCTCCACATAGTCAATATAGATGTCCTATTGTAAGTATGATATTGCTGTTCATAAACAGCATGTATTTGGCAAGGCATCACATCCAGCGTTTTATTTTTTCAATCTTATTTTGTTAGGATGTTAAAGACTTGGAAGGAATGGGATGTGTGGTGCAAGGTATGACCTGATGTTGTAGAATAGCTGATGAGCCAACTGGGGCGCAAATTCCTCATCCAGGGTCCTTGTGTCTGGAATCACGCGACTCCCGATGCAAGAGCACACGGGATAGATTCTTGTCTAGAGCATTTTTGATGACATTGAGTTTAAATTTGGGCATGAATTTGGTGCTCTGCAGAGGCCCCATGCAAACATGCTTGGCTACAGGTCAGTAGAAGGCCTTTTTCTCTGCTGTCTTGCAGCAGTGCTGGCAATGTTGGTATCTACAACTTYGGAAATGTTAAAAGTTGATCCTAGCAGCCCTTGGGAGGCGTTCATGAAGTAGTGCTTCTCATTTACAGGTGACCCTGGACAGCTCTTACATTGCTCTAGGGTGGGTTTGGAGCATGAGCAGCCGATCCACACATTTTTGCAGTGTGGAGGCATCTTCCCTCACCTGAGCTCAAATTACTTGGTTCTTGCAGAGTTTGGGACGTGAACACGGGTGAAGTTCTGAACACGCTGATTCACCACAACGAGGCTGTGCTTCACTTGAGGTTCAGCAATGGCCTCATGGTGACCTGCTCAAAGGACAGATCCATCGCTGTCTGGGACATGGCATCCCCTACTGACATCACCCTGCGTCGCGTCCTCGTTGGCCATCGTGCTGCTGTGAACGTCGTGGACTTCGATGACAAGTACATTGTGTCAGCGTCAGGGGACAGGACCATTAAAGTAAGTTTGTCCAAGCGCTCAGCTCGATCTGCATCTAGATCTTCCTCACTGAGGACGTGGCAGCTAAAATAACCAGTTTGTGCCTGGGAGAATAAAATGTAAAAGCTCCCAAATGTTAAGATTTAAATCTAAAGAGCAGAAGAATCCGTGCAGATCTCTGTGCCTCTCTCTGCTGTTCAGCTGGGTGCTTCTTTTTGCTTGCTGTTAATAACCTTGCACAAGGAATGGGGTTTGTAAAATTCGGGCAGCTTCTGTCATTCAGGTACAAAAAGGTGAGACCTCTTCGCGACTTCAGCTCTGTCTTGTGACTGGCTTGTTTGCTGAAAGTGCCACATTTCCTGCCATTTTGCACAGAGTATTTTTCCATTTCCCTTGACAGGCCTGTCCCAGATGTGAATTTGATCAGCAGCTGCCTTTCCTCACCCAGTCTTTCCAACAACTAACCCATGCTTTGCCCAATTTCAAGAACTAAAATGCTGTATTTTAAGCTTATATATACATATACATCCCGGGAGACCAAGTTACCCACAGTGTTCATATAATAAAGGCATTTCTAGCCTTTCTTCTCTAGAGTTAAACTACCTCAGGCCATGCCAAAAAGCTCTTGGCAATTCTCTGTTCAAATGTCTGTAAAGGATGCTGTTGCATGCTGAAAGATAAACCACTGGATACTTTACAGCTTCAATTACAGTTTATTAAAATTGGGTGAAGTTGATCAGCTAATGTTAAGAAAGACATAGTCACCAAACTTTTGTAGATCACAATTTTGCTCTTGTACAGCGCTAGCAATTTATTGGTAAAACATAAGTTGCTTTTGTATACGGTAACTTCCATTTTTTAAACGGACTAACCTATTAAGGTTTAAGTGTAATGRAGTGTTTTCAAATCATTTGGAGTAGTTTCTACCACACAAGAAATATTTTACAGAGAAAAAACCCTCCCTGCCCTTTTCTCACTGGATCCTTGTGCAAGGGTCAACCTCAGACCTCTTCTGCRATGGCAAACAGTTTCTGTTGAAACTCGGAGCTCTTGAGCACCATTTGCCTTCCTCTTTGCAGGTGTGGAGCACAAGTACCTGCGAGTTTGTCCGTACTCTGAACGGGCACAAGCGAGGCATCGCGTGCCTTCAGTACAGGGATCGACTTGTCGTCAGCGGATCCTCAGACAATACTATTAGGTGGGTGCAAAGGCTGCACGTCCAGATGTGTGAATCCACTTGCTCCTGACCTGTGTTAATGTCCTGCCCCACTTTGCRGGAGGGAAAAGAAGATTTGGGGCTGTTGAAGCTGTATTTGCTATTGTCTTGTTATTGAAGCACATAGTGTGGGGGTGAATACTTGGATGAGAATAAATGTATTTTATATGRCCCTAAACACTACATGAGATTTTATATGACCTGTTGAAATATTGTGATTGCAAGGTTGATGTTGAGAGTGAACAACGGYGACAACAAAAATTAATTGATCCTGCAAGTTTATTGCTTTGCTCCTGCAGTTAGAGAAACGAGAAAGACTTTTTGTTCACTGTTTAATTATTAGAGGTTCAGAAAGCAGTTAAACCAGATTGGTACATGCAATATAAAGACCCATCCACTCACAAATCAATACGTTAAAACTCACTGCCACAATTCAGCAAGTACCCAGCCTTTACTTGTTTGTGGTTTACAGTGAACCAAACTATGTAGCTGCAGCAGCGTTACAGGGATTACTCCCTGTGAACTGAATGCAAGGAGCATCTTGTGGTTCTAGAATTGCCTTTTGTGTACTATTTCACCCCCAAAAAGCAATTAATATGGCTGAATCACTGTATGTAAGGCTAAGAGGCAGGTGTTGAACCCCAAGTATTCAAAGTTTTTGTTTTGTTTTCCTGTGTTTTTTAAGGCTATGGGACATTGAATGTGGTGCCTGCTTAAGAGTATTAGAAGGCCATGAAGAACTGGTTCGATGCATCAGGTTTGACAACAAGAGAATTGTTAGTGGAGCCTACGATGGGTATGTYCTTCAGTGCAATTTTGAGAGGTGTTGCCTGCCTTAAAGCACCTTCTGGGAACTGTTAGGCCTTAGGGGCAGCTTCTCTTCTGATTTGRACAATGGATAAATATGTAACAAGTTTCTGCATGAAGGATTGAACGCAGCAGACTGCAGTTCTGGGGAGCCAAGAAGCTACATTCCAGATAGTCATATAATCATCTAAAATGCTTTCCTGGTGCTCTTCAACAGGATTCCCAGTTGTTYTATCTTCCAAGTTTGACTTGGGGTAGTAAACACATTTTTGGTCAGCTTCAGTGGCAGCCAGTCTAAAGACATTTCTTTGCTGCTGCCCTTGGGAGCTGCTTCTAGTAGTTCAGTAGACAGTAGATGTACTGAAGGCAGTTCTTGAACTGCATTTGTCTCTTGCAAGAGACTGCTTTGTCTGTGTTTGTCTGCAGCCTTTTTTCTTGGTTTATCATGTCACGGGGTCCCAGTCGTGGCTTGATCCCGCTGGATCTTTGTGCTTGTCAGTTAGCGCTGTAGACTTTGGGATCTGCAGTTCTAAAATCACCTGTGTGGTAGAAACGTTGCCCTTTTGTGCCTTCRTAACATCTGCCAGCCCATTTGGCCCATCAAATGTGTCGCTGTATTTAGCACTGAAAAAAAACAAGAAACTTCCAGTACTTAAGAGATTTAATATTAATATATCAACCTAGCTGAATTCTAACATTTTGCTTGATCCTGATGTATTTAACTACAGGGAAACCTTGACTTTATTGCRATTGTTCAGGTGTTTATTCTGTGCTGATATTTGAAACAACATTTCTCTTCTAACCTGGTGATTTTACTTTCTAGCAAAATAAAAGTTTGGGACTTGCAAGCTGCCCTTGACCCTCGTGCCCCAGCAAGCACGTTGTGCTTGCGGACGTTAGTGGTAGGTAACACGAATCCATCTGGGCTTACATGAGATCCTTGGAATCTTTGAAAGAAAAAAAGACATTTTATTGCCCTCTAGTGGGATACATGAGAAACTTGAGATGGCTTCTAGAGTCTAGTCTGCTTCTCGTGAAGAATGAGAATGTATTTCTTTATGAATGATAAAACATATAAACATTTTATATATATATATATATGTCCTGAATAATTGGAGTGCGAATTCAAAAGAAAGGATGTTTTCCTAGCTCAGGATTCTTAGATGCTCCAAAAATATAATCATTGAGACATCCTATCTACTCATTTTAGCTGCTATCATTGTAGATGCTGCAACACTAGCTTGAAATACATTTTCTGTCATGGGAAGGGTGGTGTGAGAGTAAAGAGGGAGGGGGGGAAATCTCTGAGCCTTTCCCAAACCCGTCTCCTTCGGTTTGGAGGGATTGGGAAGGGAATGGTGGTGAGTTGCCGCAAGACGTTCTGGTTGCTTCAGAGGACTCTTGTTCAGAGTCATATTTTTCTGTGTAATGGGGTTTTGCTGTATGACAGTGGACTTTTGAAAAAAATATAAAGGAAGGAAAGGGATTCCTTTTTCTTTCGCAGGACATAGGTGAGGAGTTGCTTGAGGTTTGGTTTGATGTTGGTCTGAGCTAGCAGCAACCCAAAGCCCTTGCGTGTAGGCRACAGAACCAGGGTTATTGGGCAGGTGCCTGGCCGGCGCCTGCAGAAGTGCTTGTAGTGCACAAGAGAGTCCTGAGTTTGGGTCTTCTCAGTAGTCTTGGCACAGAGATGGGTGTTAATTACCCTTTTGTGCCATACGGAAAGTTGCTACTTGTCCTTCTGCGGGTCCAGACTGCAAGCGCAGGTCAGCCTGACACCTTTGGTCRCTTCCCTGATAAAGGTAGTGAGCTCCTTTTAAGCTCCCCTGCAGCGAGCAAAGCGGAGAACATTTTATGAGATTCAGAGATGCCCTTAAAGGAGCTTATGGAGCACGTTCTCCCATGGCTCCTTTTCTCCAAGGCAGCGTTTGAACACAGCCAGTCTTTCCTAKCAAGTGAACCCCAGTGATGCTTCCCATCCTCGCAAGGGTTGGGTGAGCCTGTGGTGGGTGGGTTAGGTTGCTGCACAGATTGCTGCAGCAGTAGTGTTGAATACAAAGTGTTAGGCAAGAGAAGGAGCTCTGGCAGTTGGCCAGTGCCAGATAATCTTCTGAATTGCTTCTTCTGACCTGATGGGCTGTTTTTCTCTTTAATAATCTCTGCTTCAGCCTCCTCCCTCCAGAGAAGTTTCATGGCTTAGAAGCACTTTGTTTGAAGCCATATGTTTTCTTGTTAAAGCTTGCATACAGAAAGAGCTTTATTTRTTTGTTCTTAAATTCAGGTTAACTGTAGCTAAGGACTTCTTAATTAGCACATCAGAACTTCARTTCACTGCCCTGTGACTGCAAATGTAATGAGAGATTTCCCTCTTCTTGCTCTYTAACTTCATTTTTCTTACTCACAGGAACATTCAGGCCGTGTGTTTAGACTCCAGTTTGACGAGTTTCAGATCATTAGCAGTTCCCATGACGACACGATTCTGATTTGGGATTTCTTAAATGTGCCACCCAGTGCCCAGAACGAGACCCGCTCTCCGTCTAGAACATACACGTACATCTCCAGATAACAGTGTGCACTTTACTACCCTTGGAAGGTAAGGCTGCTGCTTCCCGTGGCTGCATTGCAAATAGGTGAAATCAGCTTTCTGCATGTAGCTGAAGCTGTCAAAACATAAAATTTGCCTTTTTGTTTGGCTTTATTTAGCTCTCCAAGCGTCTTGGGCGAAAGCTCTGCTGTTGTTCTGCTTGCTGATGCTGTTCCTCGTGTCATCTGTATTGCTGCCAACAGTTACACCTCGGAGAATATAAATAGCTGTGAGCAATCCTGGGATTGGAAACACAGTAATTGCCTTGACCTAGGCAGAGTAGTCCCCTGTATGTGCAGGGCCGTGGCTCTGCCGTGCCGATCCTGGATGGAGGTGGAGACATCGCAGCAGCAGGAGTTAGGATTAACGCTGCCCCGACAGGAAGGAGTTGTTTTATTTGAATAGATGATGTGTAGCCCRGGGAGAAAGTTTTTGCTGCCTCCACATAACCATGGATTTTCATGGCCTCTCTGCGTGTAGCAATGAGCTCCTTGAGCTCTTCTGTTCTTTACAAAGAAGCTCTTCTGGCCAGGAARGTGTCTTTTCCTGGCCTTGTGACATTGCAGTTTTGATTTTGAAATGCAGGTTCATCAAAACTAGTTTTTTCCTTCCTTCCTCGGGAAGATGCTGAGGGTGTTTCCTGCTAACCAAGCTATTCCCTGCTTTGAAGAAAGGGAGRTGGTGGCATCTCCCTGTGTGGTGCAGGGGCTTGTGAGGGTCYCTAGGAGGTCTGGGCAGGGAGCTGTCTGTAGTCAGGCTGTGTTCCCTCCCTTCCTGCTGTTACTGAGTTCAGTGCCCTGCCTAGGGAAGGAGTTTTTCACCAGGATGAAGAGGGAAGGTAATAACAGGTGATGGGATGCGAATTACTGCTGTTAATGGGGTCTGCTGGCCCTGAAGAGCAAGGGAAGCCCATTAATGTGTGGGCATCTTGACTGCACTTCTCCATTCTAAAAAGTTCTTTTCCTGCCTTTCCAGTCGTTTAGCATAGGACTGTGTGGGCAGATGATGCTAGTCTGGAGAACAAATCCAACTGTTTTCCAGGTGRTACTTCAGTGGTTCCTCCTGCAAAGGTACAAACTAATTTGAAGTGGACAGGTTATTATATTTGATTAATGCTGCGGCTCTCAGGAGAGCTCCGTGTTGCGCACGTTAAGCGCTGTCGTCWTTAGGGGCAGAAGGAAATTCCTTGGCTCGAGTCGCAACATGCAGGTATCTGATTTTCTCCTTGGCCACGTGTGTACGCGTCACAGAGATGCGCCGATGGAGCCCGAAATACCCTTGGTACTTGTTTCTCCCTCCTAACTTCTACACACTGGGCAGTTTTGAGCAGCCTACGTCCCACTTGTTGTGGGGGGTCCCTGCTGGAGCAGGGGGTTGGACTAGATGATCTCCAGAGGTCCCTTCCAGCGTCAACCATTCCGTGATTCTGTGACGTGCCCCGTGATGCTGAGCTGAGAACATGGGTCCTGGCCACGTCTTCCTCTAACGATCCTGCCTTAGGAGAGATGATGCAAGGTCACTTTTTGACCAGTTTGTCTAAATTGACACTCCCCAAAACCCCAAATCTTGCGTAAATGTACTATCAGACAGCTAATATTTCTTTATGACATTTAGTGGCACAATCTTATATGCTCGTAACCACTGTAGTCCCCCAATTTTGAAGCAGCCCTCCCCTTTTTTGCAATGTTAGACTGCTTCCAAGCAGGAAATTTCTGGCCCTCCTGGCAGCTGGCTGCGAGGTTTTTACTGCTTTCTGCTGAATTTCTGTTGCTCATTGTAACATAATAAAAACTTCTACCGTATGGCGGGCTAATATTCTTATATGAAGCACTGGGCCTTGGGCTCAGGGCAAATGCCYGAAGAGCCTGAACCTCACGTGGGAGCTTCCTATTGGGATAGGGAGGTCACCGTGGCCTGTARAAGTGACCTTGCGAAGTGGCAAAATTTCTCAGCACAGTTAAATCCAGGCTCCAAATGTAGTCGTATGACTACTGGAAAAGGCATCTGGAATTGCAAAGTACTTGATTTTTAGTCAGTTTTCTTAAAAACTCTACGTTTTGAAGCAAGCAAACTTCATTTCCTAGGCAAAACTTGTGGAGCGGGAGAGAGGACCTGCTGCTGGCAGGTGTGCAGGTCGCTCCGTCCCCAAAGTGCTTTTGTTTTATCCTCACTACGTGCAAGAAAAAATGCCCGTTATTGCTAATTTCTAGCCCTTGCACCCAGGAGGAACCAGCAGCAGGGAGAGCCGTGCTCTGATTTAAGCTCAGCTCAAGTGAAACAAGTGGAGACCTTGGCTTGTGGAGCTGCATCTGCCCTGAAGGCAGCACCTGGAGCACCGACACGGCTGCTCTGAGGTGGGGAGTCTGCTGAGGAGACATATAGGACATAGGAGAGTGTCTGACTCTTTTAGGCTCGTCTTGGAGTGTGGAAAAATGGCATGTGCTTAATTTCCTCCCAATACTTCATGTCGACTTGTGTATCCTGTGAGTTCAGCCCCGTTTTTTTTTCTTTTTTTGTCTTTTTCCAGGGTTTCACAGTCTTGAACTACTGGATTTTTGGCTACTCCATGCCTGAAGATGTTGATTGACAGCAAACGTCAGAATTGGTTCTAGATGCTGTGTAGATGCAAAGCAGCACAATCTTGTATCTAAATTCCGTAATCTTTCCTGCTCTCAGTGGTCGTCTCTGAATTTGCTACAAATTCACTGACTTCAAGTAGATGAATTTCAGAAGCCTGGCCTTCCCTGCAGTGAAAAATCCAAAGCTTCACCTGTAAATTGTCYGTAGAAACTGAACTCTGATGGCTCGTTTTTCAGAAATAAATCAGAAGTCAAGAAAGGACTTGGCCTAATTTATATTGCTTTGCACTTTTGTCTGACTTTAAAGGAAAAAAAAAAGAGAAAACAAAAAAAGAAGACATTCTCCAGTGAAATTTGGGTGCCAAACACATGCCCAGAATGTACAGAGCTTTGCTTTCCAAGTCACCGCTGTCCTGTGGACTTTGCTCTCAAGGCAGATTCAGAGCCTGTTTTGTTTGCTAGGGGTGTACGTTGGACTCGTAGAAATATTCCTGACTTGATCAGTAATATTTTTGGATTACCATTTACTGGTTCCTGCACCAAGAATTTCTTTTAAATTAAAGATTACCTGTAATTGAGGCTAGGTTATCTAAACTAGTTGTATAGCACTGTCTTTTTCCTTTTACCTGTGCTCTGTACTACGGCCGTCCTACGCTTCCTGATGTTTGGTATAGTAAATCCTTTCCATGTGTGCTTGCCTCATTTCAGATCCTGTTTAAGCATGTAGATATAATGTACATAAMAGCGTAAGCTCCTCCGCGTTGGATGTCAGGGTATCCTGACACTACACACTAATACTTGCCGTGTTAGCACTTGGCAGCAGGATGTTCTAACCACTGGCACTGCAGGGGTTAACGCGAGTTACCCAGAAATTTTCACTGCAAAAAGGAGGTTTTCAGTATTCATTAGGATTTTTTTTTTAAATGGGAACTACGTATTTTAAAATGTAATTTCTAAACTTTTTAAAAATTAAAAAAAAAAAGTTTAATTTATGTTCTGTATGTTACATTCTGTGCTGCAGTATTGACAGATGTCTTTCTTTTAACAGCAGTAGGTCGTGGCTGCCGCCTGCCGAGGTCCTTCCTCGGTGCCGGCGTGGCTGCCCGACGGAGAGGATGCCGAGGACCCTGTTCAAACCGATTTCTCTGTAGTTTGTGGCGCAGCCGGGCTCCCCGCACTGGCGTTTTGTCCTATGCCCGCCTYGTGGCTGGTGTCCCGGTGTCCGGTCAGCTTCTGGTTCCCTTTGCAAACCTGGGCAGCTGCTGCTCGCACTGCCTGCGTCCCATTGCCACGCTCACCTTGACACTGCTGCGATTTTTGGTCAGGACGAGCCGCCGGTAGGTACAAAGCTGTAGGCTTTGTCCTCGTGAGCCGCGTGTGACTCTACCTGGGGCTTTCCCTCAGCCCTYGGGAAAGGGCCGAAGTCCGTGCCCTCACATGCGGCACAAGCGGAGGCCGTCCCCRCGCAGCACCTCGGCCTCCGCAGCGCTTCCTGTCCCCGTTGGTGACAGAGGGCTCGGGGGACACGTTGTGTCCATGCCGAGGGGCGCCCGGAGCCGAGCCGCGAGGAGGGCGCCCCAAGGCCTCAGCCCATCCCAGGAGGGGTGGCGGGGTCGGCGTTTCCCTTGCTGCACACGGAGCCTCTGTCTCTCCCCTTCTCCTCCCCTAGCTTGAATATGAAACTGTTCAAAAAGAATCTCTTGCAGCCCTGAAGAAAAAGGTATTTGTTTATGAAGAATGGAGTCTTTTTTTTTTTTTTAAAGTGCATGTGTAAGAGTTAAATTCCTGTTTTTCCTTGGGAGATGATGGTATTTAAACATGCAGCCTGAACTTCTTCGTGCTTTGTGTAACACAGCAGTGGACTCTTGTGATCGGCACCCACGAGCGCGGCTCCTGGGGCTAATGGTAGTGATCCTGGCTGCCCTCTAGACTTTGTTTTGCTAACCATAACCGAGCAACTGTACATTACTGCTATATTAATGTTTCAAAGCACTGGGATAGTCGAATTCTAACTTGTAATTTTGTTTGCCAATTATCTGTTTGGAAAGTTGGTGTATGAACAGCTTATTGGAACTGTTAAATTGTACAGATATCGTTGATGATCTAAAGCTTTGTACTGTGGAATGTGCTTAATAAAAAAGAACGTTTGAACTGAACTTGTGGCCCACGTGCTCGAGGTSCAAGGGCCACGCACCTGGCTCTGGTTCCAGAAATGCTCCCTGAGCTCGACCATCACCTCGGTGCTGCGCGGTGACCGACCTGACTTTAGCTTGTAGGTTGGCCCAGTTTTGCTTTAATTCAGTTTGTTTTAATTCTGTCCTCCCTCCGGAAGGTGAACAGATGCTTTAAACGTTGCCTGTTTCCCCATGGCTGAAGCAATCCCTGTTYGGATAAAGGGGCTTCCGTCGGCTCCCTGGGAAGGACAAGTGTTTCTAGTTGGGTTTTCTCTAGCTGTCATGTGGGATAACTATGGATGCTGGTGTGAAAACAAGTACTCCGGAGTTGTTGTATGACCCAATCATGATTAAMAGTGTTTCCCTAGGGTGTCCTTTGCCGTTGTCCGCCGCAGCACCACAGAACGGTGCTCATGTGCTGGGCTGCTGGTGGGTTTTGCAGCTTAACTCGAGTGCTCTTTTCCTCCTAGAAATGTCCCCAAGTCCTCACGGCTGGGTTAAGGCTTTGAAACAAACCSGATGTTTGGTTGGGAGTGACGTTTGCTGAGGGAACGTTGACTTCGAAGCAGGCAAAAGAGCTCTAGGTGCTACCTGGTGCCGACGTGGTGGCGTCGGACTCRGGGCGGGAGCAGCCCCGGTGCTGCCGTCCAGTCCCCGTTGCACCTGCAGGCTGGTCCCGGGCTGAAGCAGAAGCAGCTTTTCCCCACGTGAGCCCTGAGAAGATTCRCAGTTTCATCTCAGCCCAGCACAAATGAAGTGAGATACATTTGTATCTCCTGACTATTTCCCCCCACACACACAGTCTTAAATTCTGTGGGTTTTTTTCATTCTTTATTTGCTTTTTACAGAGCCCTTTGAATGTTTCTTCTCTTTTTTTCCCCCCGCTATTTCCAAGCACATCATGCTCAGGAAGAAAGTTGTCTCCTCCTAGAGCCCACAGAGGAACAGGAGCATCTGGGGAGCGCAACGGGCAGCACGACACGACGCAGCCCTGGGGGCTGAGCTGATCCAGGGTGCCGCTGAGGCCTCTGCAGAGCCAGAAGTTGCAAATGTGTGAGAAAGAAGCCGGTTCCTGGCGAGTTCGGTTCCCTACAGGGAGAGGATTAAATTCCCCGAAGATTCAACCTTCTCTGATGTTGGTAAGGTAGACGCATGAGTAGAAGGTTGATAAAAGCTCAAGGCCTGGGAGTTCTTTGTCTTTGCTGTGGGACTGACCCTTTGTTTTCTGTATAGATGCTGCCTGAGGGGGTTTTGGGGGTTGTCCCGTGGTGTTTACCACCCTCACATTGGGGTCCGCGCACTCCTCTTGATGTTGATCCTAGAAACCCGGGATGTGGGGGGCTCCGACATGACCCCCTCAGCGCGGCCTCCGCTCCCCCCTGTGCTGGCGCCGTGTGGGGCTTCGCGGGTGCTCGTGCGGCTGYTCCCAGTGTCCAGGTGTCTGCTCCAGGCTGGGAGTCTAAACAGCCCCTTGTGCCATCCATTAAATTCACCAGATGGGATCGTTTTTGAAGGATGGGCATTTTAACTTTTWATTTCCTTTTTTAAAGAAAAAAAGAGTTACAGTAATTCAGTCTCTGAAGGCTTCCCAAGGTGGCTCCTCTGCCCTCGGCACTCTTGGCAGGATGGATCCTTGCAGCAGTCGCTCCCTAATGGATCCCTAGTGCTAGCATTCGAATTTCCCAGCACGATTTGCCTCTGGATCACTCTCGCTGTCTCCAGGCAGGGCCTGGAGTAATAGGAGAAAAGAAGAGTAATAGCAGAAAAAGGCCCTAGGAAGATCAAAATTATAGCCTTGTTTGTTTGTTTGTTTGTTTGTTTTTACCTTTCATTATTTTTAACAGCTTTAGTTAAATTCATCTGTTGCCAAAGAAATTAACCCGTGGGAAATGCAGTTTCTCTGCTGTGGTCAGTGGCATCCTCTGGCGTCCATCCTCTGGCTGGAGAGGGATTCCAGCATTCCGATCCTTCACGTGGAAGGAAAAGGCAGAAGCGCTGGAATCGAGGGGAAAAAGCGACTGCTCCTGGGAGCTGCTGGGCATCCCTCAGGAGCTGTMTGTGATTTGGGTGTGATTTCACTTGAGGCTCATGCATGGTAGGTGAGTACCAGGYATAGAGCGGGTCTTAGTGCTGGTGAGATAACTTGTTCCTAGGGTCCTGATAAGCTAATGTTAGAGTCATGACTGCTCTAGTAGTTTCGGAGGTCCCTGTAGTGATTTCTGAGGTCACTTGTGCTTCAGTGACTGATAGGCCTGCGCTGGTTGCCAATGGCTTGCCATTTCTGGTTGTGAAGTAAGTTGGGAATCAGTTCCTGACAGCTCAGTGCCAGGCAAGAGGCTGTCTTTAGTACTTGTGAGGTCACTTGTGCCTGAGGCCATAAGTCAATGCCAAGCAAGATACTTCTCTTAATGTTTGTGAAGTCTTCTGCTAGAGGCCTTGATAGGTCAGTGCTAGGCTCAAGGCTGCTTTTGGTGGTTGTAACATCACTTCTGCCTCAGTGGCTGGTAGATCTTTGCTGGACGCGTGATTGGTGTTGGTGTTTGTTAGATCATCTGTGCTTGAGGTCCTGATAGATGAGTGATAGGCTCATGGATGCTCTTGGTGGTTGYGATATGAATTGTGCCTCAGTCACTGCTTGACGATCTTGAAGATTTTTTCCAACCCTAATAATTCTATGATTCAGTGCATGATAGGCCAGTGGTGGACATGGGATTGGTGTCAGTGATGTTGACGTCACTTGTGCCTGAGACCCTCAAAGGTGAAGCAAAAGGTTGCTTTTAGTAGCTGTGCGATCACTTGTGCCCAAGGACCGGATATGAGAGTGCTAGGTTCATGGCTGCTCTTTGTGATTTTATCATTGTGTTTGCATGAGTGCTAAGCTCTTGGCTCTTCTCGGTGGTTGTGACATCTCTCGCTCCTCAGTGTTTGTTAGACCAATGCTGGACATGGGGTTGATGTTGGTAACTGAGAGGTCACTTGTTCCTGAGGCTTTCTTAGGTCAGTGTCAGGGAAGAGGCTATGCTTAGTAGCTGTGATTTTAATTATGCCTAAGGCACCGATAGGTCAGTGTGAGACATCAGGCTACTTGTGCTAGTTCTGATGTCACTCGTGCCTAAGGTGTTCATAGGCTAGTCCCATATTCATGTCTTCTCTTGCTGGTTGTGACATCACTTGTGGTTCATTGCCTGATAGGTTAGTGACGTACATGGGTTTTGTGTCAGTGATTGGGATGTCACATGTGCCTGAGACTCTGAAAGACCAGTGCAGGATTCACAGATGCTCTTGGTTGTTGTGACATCAGATGTATCTCAGTCCTGATAGATCTTTCTTGGACATGGAGTTAGCGCTGGTGATTGTGAGGTCACATGTGCCTGAGTGATAGGCCAGTGTGAGCCTCATGCCTGGTCTTCTTGGTTGTGATATCACATCTGTGACAGTGCCTGAAAGGCCAGTGAAAAGACATTGGTTTGGTGCTGATGACTGTTATTTCACTTGTGCCTGAGGCCCTGATAGGTCAGTGAGAGGCAAGAGCCTGCCCTTGCTAGTTGTGAGGACTGCACTGGTCCCGTGGTAAGCAATGAAGTCACTTGSTTCAGTGCCAGGCAAAAGGCTGCTCTTAGTAGTTGTGAGATCACTTATTCCTACCGCCTTGCTAGGCCAAAGCTAAGCTCATGGCTGCTCTTGGTGGTTGCGACATCTCCTGTGCCTCAGTGCCTGGTAGGCCTTTTCTTGACATACGGTACATGTTGCTACTTGTGAGGTCACATGTGCCTGAGGCCCTTATAGGCAAGTGCTTGGAACATAGCAACTCTTAATGATTGTGAGGTTCCCTGTAAGTCAGGGCCGGGCAGGAGGCTGTTCTTATTAGCTGTGTGGTTACTTGTACCTGATTCCCAGATATGCTGTGCTTGTGAGGTCACTGTGGCTGCTGTCATTTGCCATCCAGGGTTAGCCCACTGCTGCTGGCTGTGTTTTTGAGGTCCCTCTTACTGCTGTCACTCACAGGCCAGAGACAGGCCAAATCTGCTGGATTTGCCTGTGATGTCACTGTTGCACATCTGCCCGTTGTAAACCATTGCTGCTGTCTGAGCTTATGGGTTCCCTGTATCCATTGTCACTCACTGGCCAGTTGCAGGCCTATGCTGCTGTCTGCACATTATGATGTCCATGTCACCCACCCGGTTGCAATCCTGTGCTATGTGCTCTACGTGTCCCTGCTTGAGCAAGGGGGTTGGACTAGATGATCTCTAGAGGTCCCTTCCAACCTCAACCATTCTGTGATTCTGTGATTATTACCACTGTTGCTCATTGGCCAGTGGTACACCAGGGCTGCTGGTTGTGCTTCTGAGGTCACTGTTGCCACTCTTAGTCATTGTCATGGTCAATTAGTCATGGACAATGGTGCTGGCTGAGCTTATTTAGTCTCTATTGCCCCTGTCACTCATTRGTCCATGGGAGAAATTTTCTTGTGAGTTCAGTATTGCTAGTATCACTTATTGGCCAGTGCCATGCCAGATTTGATGGCTGTGTTTRAGAGATAACTATTCCCACTATTGCTCATTGGCCAGAGGCAGGCCAGAGAAGGTGGCTGTGCTTGTGAGACCACTATTGCCACTGTCYCTCATTGGCCCATGGTGAGCAAGTGCTGCTGGCTGTGTTTGTGAGGGAACTATTAATAAGTATAAGTATGTTCTTAAACGCGGGGGAGGTCCTCTCATTGAGTTCCTGTTAAYACTTCCTCATATGAGATGTGCTACCAAGAGAAGAAAACACTGAGCTACACTCCTCCTGTAGCCCCTTCTGAGCTACACTCCTCCTGCAGCCCCTTCTGAGACACCTAGCCTTCTCCTACTTCTCAATCCAGGCCGCTGTCAGCATCTGCAGGCAAAGCAAGCCTGCAGACTGGCACTRCCTCAGAGACAGCACCAGCAAGCTCAGATGCATCACACTGCTGAAGCTGGAAGGTGTCTGTGAGGAGACCA